TATTTCTGACGGTTGCAATTCGGAGGAAAACGGATCCAAAGGATGACCGGTCTTAGGCCAGCCGTCCTTGGGATCTTTGGACGCGTTTTCGTCCGAATTGCATTTGTCAGAAATCGGACGAGAAAGTGCGAATGTTTGTGTCTTGTTAAAATATCATTAGCCCAGCACTTTTTTCTTTTTAACAATCGCCGTCTAACAAGATAACTATTTTCCAAAAGATAATCCTCTATTTACTACACTACGTAAAGACTGACTTCGCAACGCAATGCAGATAATTGTTCTATGGACAATATCACGTATGCGAAATCTGACGAAATTATTCGTTTGATTTCCGACGAATATAGTTCGGAGGAAAACGCATCCAAAGGACGACTGGCCTAAGGACATTTTCCAGTGCGTCAGCACCGTGCGTTTTTTTCAAGCTTGTTTTTATTTTTTTTATCATTTTTTGAAATATATTTTTATTTTCTCTGTGGATCTTAATTTTTTCAAGTGTACCTATTCTCCCAACTTGTTCCCGATATCCCAACTATCCCAACTGGTTAAATTGGTTGGGGGGGAGGCGCTCGCCCCCATTTCCCCCTATACTTACGTCCCTGGCTTTACAAAATCCACTGCTAACGCTATTATTAATAACCAAGGAAAACTTGGGTTTAATGTGTGGTGTGGACTTAAAGGGGACACAATTATTGGACCAGTAATTTATGGAGATAACTTGCAGAAAGATATGTGCGACTTTTGGAAGAAAACCCAAAGCCGTTTCTAGATGAACTTGATGCTACGCTAGAGTCTTGGAGAATTACTTTCAATTTTTCAATAAGGGGATGGGTAAGCGAATTTTTCAAAAACATGAACGGTTATTGGAATATTCCAAAAATGCTTAGTCATCCAGTTTGAAAGTAAACCAAACAAACTTGGTGGATGCTAATAACGAATTTGTCGCCAATGCACTGTTCAATTTATAGTTTCGATCACCGTTGCTGTTGGAAGTTCAAAAGATGACCATGTTTTATCTTTAAAAACAGTAACGGCTGCAAGAAATTAGCAAAAATCCGTTTTCAATAAAATCATCACCTATATAATTTTGGTTTATTACAGCCTTGTACTACCTACTTGAAATGCACGTCTTATCGTTTTATAATATATAATTATATTATTGTTATTGTAAGTTATTTAAATTTTACTGTAAACTTTACTCTTTCTTGTTTTTTTCTGATTTTAGTTTTAGTAACCACCCTTACTTGTAATAACCTTTTGGGTGTTTGTAAGGTGTACCTTAAATAAATCAATAAATAAATAAATAATGTTTCATATAGTTTCTTTTAATATTAGTAGGTAGTATTCAGTATGAACCTACAATCGAAACCTTAGACTTTTTTCAATCGTAACCCATGGACCTGTTATTTTTTTCTGCTAGGGACTCATGGACCCATACCATGGCCAGCGCAATCACCAGATATGTCGCCCCTCGATTCTTTTTCGTGAGGTTTCCTTAATTACATAATTTTTCAAATAAGGAGCCGGAATCTGCAAGACCTTCAAGAACGTGTCCATTTAGCTTTCACACAAGGATCCACGTGCAACGAATGCAATTAAGAGATGCAATGCTTGCATTGAAAATCGCGGGTGTCAATTTTATTTTTTTTTATAGTTAGTTTCAATTGTTTTCATTCAGATTTTCGTTGGTTTCTCAAATTTGTTACTAGTTGTCTAGTTACAGTTTGTTGATATTATTAATATATTTTTGTTTGGTTAGTTATAGGGGTTTTGTGTTTAAATTCAATTTGTTTTTAAGGAAATTACAAAATATTATGAAAAATCAATGACAAATACACGCTATTGTTTTGTGTCATTCCCTATTTAAATAATTCTAAATCTCCGCGGATTTCACTAAGTCAAATGTTATATTGATGTCAAAATAATTTAGACTATTATATTCAGTTACTGAGCATTAGTAAGATATTTTATTATTTCTTTTATGATATTTGCTGTACCGGTCATTCCGAAAGGACATCAATTTTGCTTGCAATCAGAAACTATTTTTTCTTGACGTTGAAGCAGAGGAATACTTAACTATAAAGTGTAATACCTATATTGTTGGAATGGGAAAAAATATACGATTTAATAATAGTATGTTATATTAAAAGTGAATCATTTACGAGCGAATGCAAAATTGCGAGGAAAAAAATGAACTTTCAGTCCGCATGATATACTTTTTTTTCCCCAACCAAGACAAATTAAGTTATTAAACAATCTACTTTCAATCCGCTGCTGTTTACTTTTAATCCGCTGGATTAAAAGTAGAAAGCAATGAGCATATTTTTGACCTGTACGAGAATTGTTAGCTTTTGCACTTGAAAATAGTCTAAAAATGTCAACTTTCATTGACGGTTTGGGAAAAACTATTATTTATTTATGTCAAAAAATTATAAGTTTGTCACATTGAACCAGAAAATAACACCAAATATTTAATGTGTCTTCCAAGGATTCTTATGGAAAGGTCTAAATACCATAATAATATTGGCAAATTACGAAATAATATAGACAAAATATATATATCATTGGAAAGGTAATTTTAGGCGTATTCTAAAAATGGAAAAATTTACAGGGTGTCCCATTTAAAAAAGATGAAGTTTATGTCATATCTCTTGAACGGTAGGTACCTGGAAAAAAAATCCATTACGCCAATGGAATATACATAAAAAAATGCGTTAGATACAATTTTCATCCTCTTGGTACTTTTTTTCTTACGCGAAATAATGACTACCCTCGAAAAGTGAAAATTTCAAGTTTCACCCTGTATATCCAAAACGGTATAAGATAGAGACTTGCGGTTTGCGGCATTCGATCCGTTATAAAAAATTGGCACAGGAATTTGAAATTAAAAAAAATTACCTTTACGAGTTTAGCAGATAACCCCCAATACCATCTTAAATGGGACACCCTGTACATCATAGGAAATTACTATAAGCTGTTGATAGACGGCAGCACTTTCGACAAGGCATTCAGAAAAAATAATTTGAGCACAGATTTCAAACCTATTTTTTATTTTCTAAAAGCAGTAGTAAAAAAAAGTCGGTAGAGAAAGTCATTATATACCTTGCGCATTATAATGACCAACTTCTCTACCTAGGTAGGTATATAATATACTATTCATTACCTTTGTGGTATCGTCCCTGCTTTACACGACAGTGAAAGGAGTAGCGGAAATAAGACGTTGTAATTTATTCAGCGACGTTTCGACCATATATGTATTTTGGTCTTCTTCAGGTTAAAAATATGGTGTGCATGAGAAATTGGCACACTAAAATTAAAGATTCAAAAAGAAAATCAAAGATTGAAAATTTAATTAAATCGATCATTAAAAGATTAAGTAAAATAAAACTAATCTGTGGACATTCAAAAAGTTCGAGACAAAAAAAAAACAAAAAAAAGGAAAATATCGTAAGCAAACACTATATAAATAAGATATAAACATTATAGGGTATAAACATACCTTCCAAATATAACGTCATTTCTAAAAATTTGAAACACATATAAGGCACATAAAACACGACGTTATATTTGGAAGGCATGTTCACCACCCCATAATTTTAATGTTTACCTATGTAGTGTTTGCTCACGTCATTTTCCTTTTTTTGTTTTTTTTTTCTCTCGAACTTTTTGAATGTCCACCGATACGTTTAATTTTACTTAATATTTTAATGATTAATTAATTTTTTGATCTTGAATTTTGTCTTTGCATCCTTCAATTTTAGTGTGCCAATTTTTCATGTACACCATATTTTTAGCCTGAAGAAGACCAAAATATATGGTCGTTAATAAAAGCACCGTAATTGGCTGTAACCTAGATTTATCTCGTCATGAAAATCTCAAAGTTCAAATTAAGAATTCCAAATTTGTTTTGACAGTGTTTCAAACTCAATATCTGAAATGTTTAATTTATATGCCAAGTAATTTTAATTGGATACGACCCACCGTGGAATATAAGCGGTATCTATCAAAACATTTTATTGAAATACAGTTTGCTTGTAGGCAATATTCTGGTTATATAGCGTTCGGGCATATTATGTAACTAGGTTTCTGCCTTATGGTAATTAATTCCAATTTAGGTAACGAGAGGCTGACGGTTGAAAATGATGAAATTATAGTAAAACCCTTCCATTGTCAAAATTTATTCCCGTACGTGACGTTTCGGTCCGTATACTGGATCACTGACCATTCACACCGAAACGTCGTTTTTCAAAAATAAGTTCATACAATGGCAGTCCAAAATAGTAGTTTCTTATATTCGGATATTATTAGGTCTAAAATTGAGGAATCAGATATACCATTTACTTGCGTTAAAAAATGTAAAATAGAAATATTTTAAGAGCGAATAATCAAAAAAGTTCGTTGTGTCGTTTTAATGTTTAAAAAGCTATTATGTGATACAAACAAGTCTCAACCCGTTTGATAATGAGATACAAAAACCTACTGCCCTCTCACTCATACCGGCAAAATTTGCAATATGGATAAAAGCTAATGTACTTTATGGTTTAATAAATGAATTATTGAAAAATTGTTTCATTTGAGCTGATTTGGGTTTGACGCTAATAATAATTCATGTTAAAGTGATTTTTCCCTAGAAAGGGAAAAATGTGATTTTGTTGTGGCATCACCTACTGGAGGATCACTGAAATGCGCGCCAGGTCCCCCATTGTTACTACCGCTCGATAGATGGCGCTGTTAATGAAAAATGATAGATGACATATGCCGGAGGTTGACATTTGTTTTTACAGATGATATATGACATTTTGATTTGACAGATGCCGTATTGATTGATTTGATAGATGACAAATGACAAAATAGACGTACCCCACGAGAACTATTGCCTGACGTCAGAGCGCAGGTCAAGGATGATGCACGATGAACTTAATTGGAAACAATATATGTATGTATAATAGCAAAATAATAATTTGATAAAAATGCAAAGTTAGTATGTGGAATGAAAAACCAACCTGAGTTTGTATCCTTGAAGCAATTAAATCTGGAAGAAGATCCAATTGTTCTTGTAGTGCAGTCAATTTTTCCTCTACATTAGTTAGCCTATCTTCAAAGGTATCCTGTCTTGTGCTCATGTCGGATACTATTTCGTAGACAGTATTTTGAGTCTGTAAATGCAAAATTTTAATTTTAAAATTCAATTCAATTTTTCAGTTTGCAGTTCCAGAAACGTTCCAGTAGACTAGATATATGAATTGAGCTACATCGGACTATATCAATAGACGAAAACGAATTTAGCTCATATGCAAGTTCAAATTAATGGGAAAATAGCGTAGAGGGCAATTTGATGTTTTCGTTTCTGGAAAACGACATAGCGTGACTTAACAATCAAAAAAGTTAACGTCAAATGAATCGCTGGATATTGTCGAATTTATTGCCGATAAGGGAGACCGAATTGCGGTATCGAAAATCGAACTACGGTTATTCTAAACTGCATTCTATATATTGGACTGAAGTTTTTTCAAGGAAAATTGTAAAAAGGTGATACAGGATACACATAATAATACTTATAGCTCAACGTATTTAAAATAAAGATAGTAAAATAATCTGAAGGTGTTTTATTAATTAAATATCTCGTTTTGACACATCTGGTGTATACCAACATGTTTTTTTATAATTATTTTCCCAGTCGGTCTACATGAATTAGTTTGACCTATTAATGAAGCTAATAAACAATTATTGAGTTATGCAAATATTTCCCAAAGATAAAAAAATTAACCTATTTTCCCTGTTTAGATTTCCTAAAGTAGATCATGAAACGGGAAATGCAATCTGGCTTATCTCAAGTTGAGGAAAGCAAGTCTGGCTGAAACTTTGCGGATCGGAAAATTAAACCGATTTTTCGGACCCCTAACCCTTATTTTCTAATAGTTTGAAACTTACCATTTAAATTGATACTATCATAAACTATAATTATACAAGGTGTCTTTAGATAAACTGACACATTTTGCAGGTAAATATATCTAAAACGAGAAAATATAACGAGATGCGGTTTGTTCTGGGAGAATAAGAATTTTCCAAAGTTTTTCTTCACAGTATTGCCGAATCCTAAAATTTGATGAACTTTGGTTTTACAGACATGCGATTTTTTGAAATAAAAATACTGCCTTATTTTTAATAAAACACCCTGCATATTTTGTCATCGTCAGAAAGCCTGATTGTTATTATTATTATGATACAATACAATAGTAAGCAGTTTACACTGATGAAACTATTGGATTACTTGTAAGTTTATCGTCGTGTTTTTGGTAAGAACTTATTGTCCATAATGAATATCCACATGGAGTAATGCACTCATATCGGTGTCGACCTTGTTCTTGAAAGAATTCAGACTCTGGGCGGTGACTGTAGAATTTGGCAGGCTGTTCCATGGGTAGACAATTCGATTTGCTATGAAGTTTCTTCTTGGAAGCTTGGCGGTTTTTTCCTTGCACAACTTCAAAGTATGACCTCGTAGATGGGGGTTGTTATTGAAGGTGAAGATGTCAAGGTTACAGGAGTAGCCATTTCGAATAATCTTGTATGTCTCGATCAGATCTCCTCTCTGACGCCTTTCCCTCAAAGAAGTGAGTCCCAGGGTGGATAGTCGAGTAAGGTAATCTTCATTACGGAGTGATGGTGGAATTTTTGTTACTCGTCTCTGCACTCGCTCTAGTATCTCGATATCCTTTATGAAGTACGGATTCCAAACTGAGTGGGCGTATTCTAGTTTTGGACGTATGAAAGATTTATACAGTTTCATAATGGTGTTGCACGACTGGTCTTCAAAGGCCTTTTTCACAAGGTATATGTATGAGTTGGATTTTTTGGCAATTTTTGATATGTGCATCTCCCATTTCAGATTATAGGTTACTATGACACCTAGATCCAATTGCTCCCTCACATGCTTCAGCTCGACATTGTTTATTTTGTAGGCATACTCAGTGGTGTTGGTTCCAATGCTCAAGATAGTACATTTTTCTTCGTTTAGCCTCATTTTCCACGTATTGGACCACACTTCTATAGCTCTGAGATCTTCTTGCAATTTCTTGTGTTCTGCGGCCTTTGCATACAATTTCGTGTCGTCGGCAAAAAGTAGAACCCTGGTTTGGATATTAGATGTCATATCGCTGACATACAATAAAAAAAGTAGAGGACCCAGTACTGATCCCTGAGGCACCCCACTCTGCACTTTTCTTCTGTCTGAAAAGATTGCATTTATTCTTACTTGGTAGCATCGGTTTAATAGAAAATTTGATACAAATTGTAATAGGTTCCCAGCAATGCCAAAGTGATGTATTTTGTGCAGGAGATAACTGTGACACACTTTATCGAACGCCTTCTCAAAGTCGAGATATATCACATCCACTTGCTCGTTATTGTCAAAGTCCCTTGTCCAATCGTCCAAGCATAGTGTAAGGTTGGTTGTTGTAGAACGCCCTGGAAGAAAACCATGTTGGTGCTTCAGTAATGGATTTTGCTCCAGTACAAATGGGGTTAACTGTTTCACCACAATTTTTTCCATACACTTGCATAGATTGCACGTCAAACTTATTGGACGATAGTTCGATGGAGCGGTTTTGTCTCCTTTTTTGTATATTGGAATCACAAACGATGTTGACCAAGTCTCAGGAAAGTTGTGAGCTTCAAAAATACTTTTCATGAGATCAGACAAGGGTTGGCTCAGGATGGCTGCACAATTTTGCAGGAACACTGCTGGAATTCCATCAGGGCCTGGGCTGGAATCCGTCTTCAACGATTTTATTGCTTCATACACCTTATCAGGAGATAAGTCAATATTTTACATCTTTGAAGTTGCACGTAGGTATTCCGGAATTAGTGGCATTTCGTTTTGATTTCCTTTGGTGAATACCTTTTCAAATTGGTTTGCAAAGCATTCCGCTACATCAAAGTCGTCAGTCAAAAGTTCATCCGCTTCATTCTTTAATGTTATTGTTGAAACTTTGGTTGATAGTGTTTTATTCACATACTTGAAAAATATTTTATCTGAGCTCTGAGAAGCAATGTTGCATTCATAGTCTTTTGTTGACTTTCTAATTACACTTGTTAGGTAGTTGTTTTGTTCGCGATATTTTTTGTAATTGTCATCTGTAGCTGATTTTTTGTATTTGTCCCATAGACCTCGTTTCTTTTCTATTTGTTTAAATATGAACTGGTTTAGCCACGGTTTCTGTGGGTTTGTTTTACATGGTTTCAAAGGAATGAACTTGTCTATAGCACTGCTTAAGACTGACATGCACGTGTGGAACACATCACCCGAGGCAGCAAAATTTTGCTCAGCCAGAAAACTATTGATTTTCTCATAGTCGGCACTGAAGAAGTTGCGTTTCAATACAGTTTTCGTTGGACGCAGTTCACACTTTAGTTGACTTTTTCCAATGATGACGACATGGTCGCTCTTTCCTATGGGTGGCTCGGGTTCCAAGTTATATAGCAGTTTCTTATCATTGGTGAAGACTAGATCAAGTAGTGAAACTTGGTCATTTCGGAAACGTGTTGGGAAATCAACCATTTGGTAAGCATTAGTTTCAAGATAGTTGTCCAAAAAAAGTCGATTTTGTTTGTCTGGGTTGGACAGATTAAGATTCTTCCAATCTATATACCGATAGTTGAAATCCCCCATAATATAAACGGGCATATCCAATGAACAGGCACGCTTAATTGAGTTGATCATAATATTATCATTTTCCTCACTAGAATAATCCGTTCTGTATATACAAGAGACCAGAAATTTGATGTTACAGACCTTTTATCTCAATCCACAATGACTGTATTGGGGCTAATGTATTAAATTGATTGTTTACTGTAGAATATACTTTGTGTCCATTCAGCTCATCCTTAACCAAAACACACACTCCACCTCCAGTTTGATTTTCTCTGTCTTGGCGGAATACACTATACCCATCAATCCCAACAATACTATCAACAATGTTCTCATTAAGCCAAGTCTCTGTTACTAAGATGCATGCAGGATTATGTTTCTGTATTGATACTGACCATTCATCTATTTTATTGGCAATAGATTGCAAGTTACTGTACCAAAAAGTGATTTCAATCTCCAAACTGCTACCCTGATTGTTGCTTATTAGTTTTTTGGACCTTGCTTGATCTTTATAATTTTTGGAATAGAGTTGTGGTATTTAATTTTAAGGTTGGACTCACCGCTTTCCTTTCGGGCTTTTAGTTCGGCTACAACTTCCTTCAAGTACTTCTGTTGAAGGAGAGTTAGATCGCCCTTGATATATATTCCTTTCGATTCATCTAGTTTGCTTTTGCTCTTTAAAATTTTTAAAGCATCTTCCTTTGTTTCAAACATAACCTTTATAGGTCTAACCTTATTTAAATCATATCCTCCCAATCTGTACAATTTGATATTTTCAGTGGGTACGGATTCATCTAGTGAGTCTAGTATTGATACGGCCCCCTCCTTCTCTTTTATATTCCGTTCTTCCTTGTTCAGATTTTTTATTTCAGGAACCCCAAATACAATTATATTCAAGGACCGTTTCGCTCTTTCACTGATTTCATCAATTGCTGGAACCAAGTTTTCTTTATCTTGGGATTTAAAATCCTCAACCTTTTTTTCGAGTTTATTAACACTTGTTCTTATCAATTCGGCTTCATTTATTATTTTGGTAACCTCAGCATATGTGCTCTTTGCTTTATTCAAGTTTTCTTTAATTTCATTAACTTCAGATTGAAGTTTTTTGAACTCATCCTTCAGCAGTGGAACCTCCTTAATCGATTCCTTCACTTCAACCTTAAGCAGAGGAAGTTGTTTGATGGAGTCCATACAATCCGCACAAAAAAACGGGAGAGTGCGCTTGGCAACCTGGATCAATGCACGTACATCTGTTGTTGAGAAGTTAGCACATCTTTTACACCAGACATCCTTGCACGCATCGCACGGAAACCCAAAAAGTTCGCTTTTGCTTTCCTTAAATATGCAATCCTCATGACACTTTGAACAAGTTCCGGACATGATATGGATAGTATTTTATCGCTCACTGTATATTTATTTGTTTATTTATTTACAAATATTCGAGTAGATACTTAAAAAAAATTATATATTTTTTAATTATCTTGAAATTGTATCGTATAAATTGCACTTTGTTGTCAAGGTTTTAATTAATTAATACAAGTATTAAACATAATAGTCGGGGAGCTGGCGTCGAAAATATGCAAGAGTTTTCGCAAGGCTCATATTTTCAGAATGAGTAGCATTTTAGTACTACAAAGCTAGGCTACAGTCAGCAGTTCCAGTTCCGGGACACCTGGCGCTGAGATGCGTGCAAAGGTGTATTTTTAATCAACACCTCGCAACAGTTTTCGCAAAGCTGAAAATTAGCAAAGAGCATGCGAATATAATGTAGAACCATAATTTAACAGTCAGACAAAGAAATACGGGGACACGTAGAGTCAGCGCGACTTTGAAGTGGTCAAAAAAATGATGTCACCGAAAGTGTTTTCGCATGGCTGAAATTTGGCAAGGTAATAGTAAAAACAATATATTTATTGAAAAAAACAGTCAGACACTTCTATGTCGGGACCCCGCCAGTCAGCAGTCGATTAGAGTGATATAGGTGGTAGCGCGCGTCAATAGGCATATATGCATGTCGAATAATAATTTCACCAAAAGTGGTTTCGCATAGCTGAAATTTGGCAAGGTAATAGTAAAAACAATATATTTATTGAAAAAAACAGTCAGCCACTTCTATGTCGGAACCCCGCCAGTCAGCAGTCGATTAGAGTGATATAGGTGGTAGCGCGCGTCAATAGGCATATATCCATGTCGAAAAATAATTTCACCAAAAGCGTTTTCGCATAGCTGAAATTTGGCAAGGTAATAGTAAAAACAATATATTTATTGAAAAAAACAGTCAGACACTTCTATGTCGAGACCCCGCCAGTCAGCAGTCGATTAGAGTGATATAGGTGGTAGCGCGCGTCAATAGGCATATATCCATGTCGAATAATAATTTCACCAAAAGCGTTTTCGCATAGCTGAAATTTGGCAAGGTAATAGTAAAAACAATATATTTATTGAAAAAAACAGTCAGACACTTCTATGTCGAGACCCCGCCAGTCAGCAGTCGATTAGAGTGATATAGGTGATAGCGCGCGTCAATAGGCATATATCCATGTCGAATAATAATTTCACCAAAAGCGTTTTCGCATAGCTGAAATTTGGCAAGGTAATAGTAAAAACAATATATTTATTGAAAAAAACAGTCAGACACTTCTATGTCGAGACCCCGCCAGTCAGCAGTCGATTAGAGTGATATAGGTGGTAGCGCGCGTCAATAGGCATATATCCATGTCGAATAATAATTTCACCAAAAGTGTTTTCGCATAGCTGAAATTTGGCAAGGTAATAGTAAAAACAATATATTTATTGAAAAAAACAGTCAGACACTCCTATGTCGGGACTCCCTCAGTCAGCAGTCGATTAAAATGAATAGAATAGAATAGAATTTTACTCTATATATAATATCCATTTCGATGAATAATTTTATTTTTATAATTTAAATTATTTGGAATCGGAAACGGTAAAATAAAATTGTACATGCACTTAAAAAGTTTGCGGTTAGAAAAAAGCCCGATTCGTATAAATATTACTTGACCATTTAATCAGCAGTACTGTGATAGTATACCTATAGTAAGTTTCATTAAATACTTATAATCGTCGCCGATTTTATAAAATACAAAAAAAAAATTCTAATCACATCTGCCGCTTCCCTAATCTCGACCTAACAGTACCATAATGAAGTTTCCGAATTCGAATGCATATACGCCTTATTCAAGTATACGCGCTTACGCTTGCAACTTACAGGTTTACACTTACTCATTAAGAGAAAAAAAAATGTATTTTACCGTTTCCGATTCCAAATAATTTAAATTATAGAAATAAAATTATTCATCGAAATGGATATATATAGAGTAAAATTCTATTGACGCGCGCTACCACCTATATCACTTTAATCGACTGCTGACTGAGGGAGTCCCAACATAGAAGTGTCTGACTGTTTTCTTCAATAAATATATTGTTTTTACTATTACCTTGCCAAATTTCAGCTATGCGAAAACACTTTTGGTGAAATTATTATTCGACATGGATATATGCCTATTGACGCGCACTACCACCTATATCACTCTAATCGACTGCTGACTGGCGGGGTCCCGACATAGAAGTGTCTGACTGTTTTTTTCAATAAATATATTGTTTTTACTATTACCTTGCCAAATTTCAGCTATGCGAAAACACTTTTGGTGAAATTATTATTTGACATGGATATATGCCTATTGACGCGCGCTATCACCTATATCACTCTAATCGACTGCTGACTGGCGGGGTCTCGACATAGAAGTGTCTGACTGTTTTTTTCAATAAATATATTGTTTTTACTATTACCTTGCCAAATTTCAGCTATGCGAAAACGCTTTTGGTGAAATTATTATTCGACATGGATATATGCCTATTGACGCGCGCTACCACCTATATCACTCTAATCGACTGCTGACTGGCGGGGTCTCGACATAGAAGTGTCTGACTGTTTTTTTCAATAAATATATTGTTTTTACTATTACCTTGCCAAATTTCAGCTATGCGAAAACGCTTTTGGTGAAATTATTATTCGACATGGATATATGCCTATTGACGCGCGCTATCACCTATATCACTCTAATCGACTGCTGACTGGCGGGGTCTCGACATAGAAGTGTCTGACTGTTTTTTTCAATAAATATATTGTTTTTACTATTACCTTGCCAAATTTCAGCTATGCGAAAACGCTTTTGGTGAAATTATTATTCGACATGGATATATGCCTATTGACGCGCGCTACCACCTATATCACTCTAATCGACTGCTGACTGGCGGGGTCTCGACATAGAAGTGTCTGACTGTTTTTTTCAATAAATATATTGTTTTTACTATTACCTTGCCAAATTTCAGCTATGCGAAAACGCTTTTGGTGAAATTATTATTCGACATGGATATATGCCTATTGACGCGCGCTACCACCTATATCACTTTAATCGACTGCTGACTGGCGGGGTCCCGACATAGAAGTGTCTGACTGTTTTTTTCAATAAATATATTGTTTTTACTATTACCTTGCCAAATTTCAGCCATGCGAAAACACTTTCGGTGACGTCATTTTTTTGACCACTTCAAAGTCGCGCTGACTCTACGTGTCCCCGTATTTCTTTGTCTGACTGTTAAATTATGGTTCTACATTATATTCGCATGCTCTTTGCAAATTTTCAGCTTTGCGAAAACTGTTGCGAGGTGTTGATTAAAAATACACCTTTGCGCGCATCTCAGCGCCAGGTGTCCCGGAACTGGAACTGCTGACTGTAGCCTAGCTTTGTAGCACTAAAATACTACTCATTCTGAAAATATGAGCCTTGCGAAAACTCTTGCATATTTTCGACGCCAGCTCCTGGACTATAATTAATTATCGATTTTTTTGCATCATAGAGGAAAAATTCATAATTCCATTTCTGAGCATGAGATCCATTCGCGGTTTGTTTTGTTCGATGAAAAGCCCCTACTCAATAAATCCTGAAAGTTTCAAGTCCCTCTGATTGCTTGAAGTATTTTTCAGAAGCTTCCAAAGGTGATTTACATGATTTTTTTGCATCTAAGTGAGAAAAAACTCTTAATTCCATTCCTGAGCCAGAGATCTATTCGCGGTTTGATAAAAAGACCATAATCAATAAATCCTGAAAGTTTGAAGTCTCTCTAATTGCTTGAAGTACCTATTTTTCTTTTTTTTTTGTTCGCCAGTTGCATCTTATACGATGTGATTTCAAGATAATTGAAAAAAATTATAAAATTTTGTAAAGTAGAAAAATCAGGCTTTCTGACGATATACAGGGTGTTTCATTGAAAATAAGGCAGTAATTTCATTCAAAAAAATAGCATGTCTGTAAAACCAATTATAGCAAATTTTAGGATTTGGCAATACTATGAAAAAAAAAAAAAAAACTTTAAGAAATTCCTATTCTCCCAGAACAATCCACATTTCGTTACCTTTTCTCCTTTTCGAGATGTTTACCTGCAAAATGTGTCAGTTTTTCTAAGGTTACCCTGTATGACTGGCTGATTTACGAAATTGGCGAATGATTTTGGAACTATGGAATAAAGCTTTTGACAACCACTAAATTGATGTAAATCCGTTATTTTGGTTACCCCAGAAATGTAAAACGAGTACTGTCCAGGGTTGAGCTCTTGAATAAGAAGGAAACACATTTATCACAAATAAAAGCCACTTACCTTTGCCATATCTGTAATAGTATTGGCGTTATCCATAAGTTTTCGTTGGTCCATTTTAACTTTTCTTAAGCTGGAACATAAATAATTACATTTATACTTATCGTTCTAAACATCAACTTTTTCAATTAAAATTATCCAAAACCATTATAATAATGCTTTATCGTCAAAAAAATTATTACATAATTTGTAGACAAAGCCTTAAATTCAAAAATATATAATATTATATACATCTACTTTGTACAGAGACAAATACAATACAATTGAGATTGAGCCAGACTTCTACATTAACGTTTTTTCTCTGTTTCCACATAAATGTATAACACATCAACCTTGTAACTTTTAGCTTTTTCTTGAAGCCGACCTACTATTATTAAATTTAGATGATTGATGACCTATTTATTTTTCTTTGAGTTCCTATTTTCTAATTCTAAATAAAATCAATAAAACTCAAATGCAGTATACTATACTGTGTTTCTTTCCCAATAAATTCTCAATTTAAATTAACATGTCTTTTTGAAAAGGGTCTGGTACGCCAATAGATAGAAAGAATATTTATGTCTTTTAATTTTGTCTCAATCTCTATAGCATGTAAATAACGTGTATATATTAGTCTAAGATCCGAATAGGAAAGGATTTGCACCCATCTGTTTATTGGGTAAAAATTATTTTATATCAAAGTTAGTATGTTAAAAAAAATATCAGGTGTGGGTTGGCTAAAAAATTCCTGGCCAGACTATTATTAATAAATAATTCAAAAATTATAATTGTTAAAGGCATTGCACTCATTTGTTCAACGAATAAATTCTATACTAATCGAAAGTATAGGGCCTAAAGAATATAAAAACGTTGGATTGTCTATTTTTTTCCTGGCATAACTATCGGGTTGGCAGGTTTGAACAGGTGAGTCGATACTAGTAATTCACACCCATCTGTTTAATGAATAAATCTAATATCAAAAAAAAAGTTATTTTATTGCGAACACGATGATATAGGGTTGTCTACGAAAAATTTGGCCTGAATGACGGTTGGCGAGCTTTGAAAAGCGAAATTTTGGTGCGGATGGAAATATGCGACAGAGTGGTGTATGATTTATACATTAAACAGATGGGTGTAAATTACTAGTATCGACTCACTTGTTCAAACCTGTCAACCCAATAGTTATGCCAGGAAAAAAATAGACACCCCAACGTTTCTATTTTCTTTAGGCCCTATACTTTCGATTAGTATGAAATTTGTTCGTTAAACAAATGAGTGCAATGCCTTTGACAATTATAATTTTTGAATTATTTATTAATAATAGTCTGGCCAGGAATTTTTTAGCCAACCCACACCTGATATATTTTTTAACATACTAACTTTGATATAAAATAATTTTCACCCAATAAACAGATGGGTGCAGATCCTTTCCTATTCGGATCTTCCTCTATATATTTCAATTGTATTTATCAGCTTTCAATAGTCAATAATTAACACAGTTATAAATTTAGTGAAGTGTTCCAGTGGGTATAAGTGTACGTGATTTATTACTTGTTTGTCGCAAACAGAATGTTTTCAACAAATTAAACTAAAATGAAATGAATTGTGATTAATTGGCTGTTAGTATTCTCTGGAACAAAAATAATGAACATCAAACAAGCATTGTATTTTTTGAGCCCCTATTTTTCTGCAAATAGAAAGCTAGAAAATAACGGCTGGGTGGCGTAGATTTGAAAAGCGACAGATTAAAAACGGCCAACGAATAAAAACCGATGATATGTAATAAATTAGGGTGACCAGTAATCGAAAAAAAGTTTTAAATTGAAAATTGATACTCACGCATAAATTGCAAGTAGAAATTTTCTTTGGTGTGTTCTAACTCTTCCGGGATTCACCCTTTTCACTAGCCTTGTATGTTTGTATATCAGCCATGTTTCTCTTAAAACATTTGCTGCTGCATTTTTAAGCTGCAATAATAATAAGAAATAATAGATAAATAAAATATTCAATATTATACAACCGATGAAAAATATTCTGTGATGTAACTATTTGAAGAATCGATCTGGAAAAACGTTACTACGTTTATAAACATTATAAGCTGAAATTTCACTTATCATTACAAAACCTAGGTTTTGACACCAGATCGTGGAATCATCAGGTCAATTTATCAATTAAAATATCTCTCAAAAATCGAGGATTCTTATGATAGGGGTATTTTGTTGCAAAAAAATCCTTGATCTCTAACGAAGTCCATTTTGTATGTCAAGGAGAATTGTTCACTGAAAAAGAGTTCTCAACAAAAAAACCACAATATTTTCAGTGTACCCTAATCTAAAACACTTTGAGCTAAATGTTCAGCCTCACCTACTACAAGTTCTTCGATACAAAATTTGTGTTTTGAATTAGCTCACGCTCGATGTTTGCTTTATAAAGTTTGCTATGTCTTTTAGACATTTCATTGTCAATGTACTACGTGATGTGATACAATTTTATGCTGACGTTTTAAGCCAAAAAGCCATTATCAGAATTATGTACAATAAAAATGGGCGATTTTGCGCTTTACAGCTAGAGAGAATGCCAATATTCATCAGGGGAGTGCTGCCTGTAGAGATGACAAAGCTATAAGGCTTGTACAGTTAGAAGGAATGCAACTGTGTTAGCTTTTTGAATAGAAAATGCAAGGTTTCTCTATCTGTTATCAGAAGACACGACCAGCTTTATTTGAGTAGCAGACAGTGTCGGACTGGGGCCATTTGGCCCACCGGGCAAATCCAATAATCGGCCCTATGGAACCAGATAAATGCGCGCATTGTGCCGCAGGCGAAAATGTTTCTAGTCCACGCCCTAATTTTGCAAAAATGAATCAAGAAATTATATAAAATTATAGCTTGCGTTTTAATGACCCTGTGCTTATAATTATTATCGAAATCAATGAGGTTTAATATGTACTTTAAAATACTTTAAAGGAACGCATGAAACAAGCTTCGATGTTTTTGTCTAAATACAACTCAAAAACAAAGTTTAAACTGAGGTTTAAACTGAAAGTAGCAATAAAGCTATTGCTATTGCTATATTGAAATTGAACAAAGTGAAGTGAGTTCTAAATTCTTGGAAAAAATATTACAACATATTTAGGTAAAGGGTTTTCCCGTATATTTTTGCACCCTACCTGCAGCCTTTACCTTTACAGATCAGAAGTGTAAATACGAAAGTTGTGCAGTCTTGGCTAAGTTTTTAGAACTCATTGTCAGAAACAAAAATTTATTTTCAGAAATTTGAAATGTACTTTCAACTTTTTTCAAATGAAATTATCTATATTTGACTCTACAGTGTCATTACTTAAGTGTGCAACATATGGGATTTATTTTTAGTAACAGCACAATCAAAATACAAACAAGGCAGAAAGTTGGTGCATGTCTAATAATCATATTAGGTGCACTTAGAATGGTTGCAAGTCAAACAGCATACAGGGTAGCTCAAAAAATATCAAAAATTGTAGTAATATTTACTAGAATAAAATAAAAAATTTGCACTTTACGGAGAGTTTTTTTAATATGGCTATTATCATTAGTAATGTTTTAACTTGTTGAAAAAAAAAAAAGTTGCGACATTTTAAAGTTGTGTTGAATATCATTGCAACAAACATGAATTTTGGGATTCCATAAAAAATTAAAAATCTAAGTTAATTTTACAAATATGTTTGAATTTGAACAAAGTTATGTAAAATTGATTTGATTTTAATTAATTTTTGATAGTATTGAGGGCGAAAATAAAAAAAAAATATATAGAAATTATAGATTTTTTTCGAAAAAAAATAATTTTTTTTTAGGAGGCTATGTTTTGGTACTCAGGTATAACTTTTAATTCCAAACAACTTTTCTCTAAAACATTTTGCTGCATTTTCTAAAATAAGGGTACTTTACAGTACAGCTTTGATATTGTTTGAGCTACCCTGTATACTGTTTGACTTGCAACCATTCTAAGTGCACCTAATATGATTAGTAGACATGCACCAACTTTTGGCCTTGTTTGTATTTGGGATGTGCTATTACTAAAAAAAATCCCCATATGTTGCACACTTAAAAAATCACACAGTAATGACACTGTATATTGATTCGAGAAGTTGAAGATATATCATTGAAAAATGCACTGAAAGATCCTCGTTGGAAGAAAGCAATGCAAGAAGAGTTTAATCCATTGCAAGATATGAAGACATGGGAATTAGCGCATTTGCCGGAAAATCGAAAACCGTTAACATGCAAATGGTTATTACGAGAAAAAGCAGATGGTCGTATAAAGGCACGTCTTGTTGCTCGTGGTTTAAACCAACAGCATGGGATAGATTACAACGAAACGTTTGCACCTGGTGGCTTGACATGCAAGTATTAGATTATTGTTGAGTCATGCAGTGAGAAAGAATATGTTTATTCGTACATTTGATGTAAATACAGCGTTCCTGAATGGAGATTTATCTGAAGAAATTTACATGTTACAGCCAGAAGGTTTTGATGATAAGTATGGAAAAGTTTGTTTAGTGAAACGAAGTTTATACGCTTTGAAGCAAGCATCGAAAGATTGGAACAAGAAATTTACTAAACGCTTGGAAAAATTGGGATTCATAGACACAGATGATGAACCATCTATATTTTACGATGAAGAGAAGACAGTGATAGTTGGATTGTTTGTGGATGACGGTATAGTGATTGGTTGTGATGAAAAGAAAATAACAAAAACTTTAGTTGGATTGAGCAGAGAATTCAAAATGAAGACCTCAATTCCAGAAGATGGAAAACTATTTTATCTTGGAATGGAAATTGAATTGATGCAGAAAGGAGTATCAGTCACACAGCAGAAATACACTCGAAAAATATTGGCACGTTTTGGATTTGAAAATGCACATCCAGTTTCCACATCTATAGAACCTGGAATGCAGACAAAAAAGAAAATGAATGCCAGATTCTTGAAAGACAAACCGTATAGAGACGCTATAGTTTGTTTGTTATATTTATCAACGATTTCGAGACCAGCTATTAGTTTCGCTGTGAATTATTTACGTAGAGGAGTCAGTAAACCAAGTC